GCTCACATCTCCTCCTTGACTCCTACACTGAGGCTGTCATCTCTTTGACTCCTACACTGAAGCAAGTATCTCCTTGATTCCTACACTGAGGCTACTATCTCCTTAATTCCTACACTGAGGCTACTACCTCCTTAATTCCTACACTGAGGCTACTATCTCCTTGAATTCTACACTGAGGATACTATCTCCTTGACTGCTACACTGAGGCTACTATCTCCTTGACTCCTACACTGAGCTTCACCACGTCCAGCAGTGTAGCAGAGGCCTCACTGAGTGATTATCAATGCATGATCACAGACCATAAACGATTAGTCAACACAGTAATAACACATCTGGTGCAAGAGAGTGCTACAACACAGCGACTTCAAAACCACGCTATTGTGGTTCCTAGAACCAGTGCTTCACAGGGGCGTCTTTAGTAGTACCTGGGTAATTAAGAACGTATACAGTTAATCACTTTTCAAAGATTTAATCACCACTGGCATTAGTTTCTTGCCCAACCAGGGTACCTAGTTATCTGAGCTGGCATAGTCTCTCCCCTCAGTTGATCTTGTATGCTATAAGTAGGTGTATACACTTAGTTCATGTACACCGAGAAATGCATATCTCTCAGTATATATATATATATATATATATATATATATATATATATATATATATATATATATATATATATATATATATATATATATATATACATACATACATATAATATATATATATATATATATATAAAATATATATATATATATATATATAATATATATATATATATATATATATATATATATATATATATATATATATATATATATATATATATATATATATATCAATGAAATTACGAAACAAGTGATTTTAAATCATTTACTAAACTGCGGCAGGCCAGGAATCGACCCTACGAATCTTATACCGTCCCAGAGGCAGCACACTGTAAGCATCGCCTGGCGTGCCGCAGTTTGGTAAATGATTTAAAATCACTTGTTTCGTGATTTCATTGCTATATAGACTGCTTGTTGAGGCGGGTATTCAAATTGAAGGAGATTGAAATTAATCCTTGAGATAACACTGCCACGAGTGTCCTCGGATCACGAGAAAAAACATGTAGCTCAGCTGCATGCGTGGTAAGTCGATGCGTATATTGTGCTGTCTCTGGAGGCGGTATAAGGATCGTAGGTTCGAGTCCTGGCCTGCCGTAGTTTGGTAAATGATTTTATATATATATATATATATATATATATATATATATATATATATATATATATATATATATATATATATATACATATATATATATATATATATATATATATATATATATATATATATAATATATATATATATATATATATATATATATATATGTGTGTGTGTGTGTGTGTGTGTGTGTGTGTGCAATACAATCACAGTAAACATGTACTATGACAATATGAAAAATATCCACAGTGAAAAATAGTGAATTTCCAAGTATTTTCGTGATTTCTCACATTATAAAGGAATAGTAAAAATTATAGAACAAAAAGGACTTATAATGCCGAGATATGACCTGACACACGACCCAACACGCGGAACTAAGAGTAGGTGTGTTGTGAGAATTTTGGTCAGGTCACGTGTCAAGTAAATTTTTATGAGTGATGATTCAGGCTTCGCTTAAATTCCTAACAAATTGTATTCATTATAAATGACTAATTTATATAACCCTAAACTTATATTGATATTATTTTTAACGAATCTTGATTCAATTATGTTTCATTGAACCATGGACCTTCTGGATCTTTTTAAAATATATTGGATGGTTAGGATCTCTCACATGAATAAATAGAGGATGAGACTCTTGTCTAGTTCTAATGCTATATTTATGTTGGGGTAATTTTAGTTCAAGGCTTTTTCCAGTTCGACCATAAACTTTATTGTATTTCTTACAGGGAATCTTGTGGACACGGCCATCAGTGTTTTGGCGGGAATTCTTAATAATTTTTTTTTACTGTATCAAGAATTTTAAATGGAACTTTGATTTTAAAATTCTTAAGCAGAGAAAGTATATCAAAAAAGTTTTCATGGTAAGGGAGAAACAACATATTCTTAGTTGAATATGTTTCTTTGTCCATTTTTGAATTGCAAAATGTATTTTTGGCAATTTAAAGGGTTTGTAAATTAATTTTTGGGGCATTTTAGTTCACTCGATATTTCATAAAACTTCAAAATTTCTTCATCTATGAACTCTTCGCTGCAAATGCGCAGAAATCTCAGAAAATATAGGTGAGAATACAAGAAAATTTAACTCTGTCATGATGTGAGGAATAACAGTGTACAAATGAACAGTTATCTGCTGATTTTCTGGTATTTATTTAAATTCTTGACTCCCTTTAATAATTAAAACATCTAAAAAAGGCAATGATTAATTTCGTTTAAACTGAACAGTAAACTTTACGGATTGACTTAGACTATATAATTCAATCAGGAAATGGTTTATATCATATTCTTGGGCATTAAGCATAAA